AAGGCCAAACAGATTTTCTTGGGTGATTTTACTTCGTTTGTTGGTTCGTTATGAGATGGATGAAAGCAAATACCGCCAGGCGTCACTGGATAACACATGCCGAGCGCGTGACAAGGGAATGTGAACTGGTTAAGAAAATGAGGATCATTCGTACTTAGATTAACTTAGATTCATTTGTCATTATCATTTTCTTAATATTTAAATTATTTATTCTTAAAAAAGCGAATATTCTGACTTTCTATGAGGAATAATAATGAAGATGTACATTGCTTCTTGATTGGCAGGCTTCCTGTGTTTTTGTTCCATAAAATTGGGTTTCCTGTGTTATTTATGATGGAGGAAATTCTTTACTTTGTTTAATGTCGGGACCAGATTCAATTGTTCCTGCCCTCTGTCATGGCTTCCATCACGTGACGGTGCAGAGCCTCTATTGTCTGTGTGGTTGTTGTAGGATTTGAATTTCGATGGAAAACCTGTCCCGGGTTTTGAATTCCGCAACCCTACATCAAACAATAGAGATAGGGCGTGGTTGGTTTTTAAACCAGTTAAGACGCACGTGCTCGAGTTCGCATTGAAATTCAATGTCAGGCCTCGTCCTACATTTTAACCTTTGCATACGAACTTCATGCGAATCAATTGATGCAGTTTTTCCGAAATTCCTCTGCACAGAATTCAAATGACTATCTTTGCTTCGCCAGAGTACTCAGAAAAATCTTTCACGATCATGCGCAGCTGGGCACGGATTACCCGACATTTAAAAATTTTTTTGACGATATCACAACTAAAACGAATTGTCATCGAATCAATTAAAGTTATGAAAATCGTCTTGCAAAAAAAAAAAAAAAAAAAAAAAAAAAAAAAAAAAAAAAATGTATAAGTAGAATTTAGTTTCAGGTCACCCCTCCTAGTACTAACTTCGCTCACCCGGACTTGACTTAGAGTCATACGCCTAAATCCAAAATGGCGCACGGCCGGGTGAAAACGAGGATCCTGGGCCAAATTTGCAAACTTACCGTATTTTCTTATAATTTGATGCCAAAAAATTTCTGTGTTCCTGAATGACATGAAAGAAAGACCGGAACAAGAGAACAAGTGTATACTTTGCATTGACACCATGTTAATTCTTCGCATTTGGCCCTGGATGCCTCGTTTTCATGTAACTACCTCGGCCGTGCGCCATTTTGGACTTAGACTTATAGAATGCATAAAAAGGTTTGTTCGAGTTTTAATTTTGGTTATGGATTGAGCTGAATTTTCAAAAGTAAATGGAACGGCCTGTCCATTTAGTGTTTGGAAATTATTGACCGGCTGCCGGTCAGAGACACTCCAATATGAAAATACAAAATGGCCGGCAGTTTTTTTTCAGGAATTTTCTATAGATTTCAATGTGATGGATTTGGGTAGACAGGAATAGGTTACTCAAAAATAGAAAAGCTTCACTATTCTATATTCTATCATTTTAAAAACCAAAAGAAGTAAAACGAAAAAAGGAGCAAAAAAGTGAGTAGGTATAATTTTTGGGTCACCCATCCAAGTGCTAACCCTCCTCAGACGAGCTTGACTCAGTATCTTGAACGACAACGATTTATCCACTGGACCRCGGTTAMAGGTGAATCAGCATAACAATAGCCGTGAAAACAATGCACCGAATAGACTAGACTTTTTAACATTATATTTTCAACCGATTCCGTGCGTGGCAGAGATGCAAGGGATTAGCCGATATGGTCTGGGGGCCGGCTGGTCTCTCCCCTGATGCTTCGGCTAGAACATTTTCTTGCGTAATTCGTACACCCAAGGGCAGAAGGATTTAATCGCCGTCAGGTCCGAAGTCCATACGCCGCCTCAGCTCTGCGGATGTCTCGGGGGTATGGCAAAGTGGAATCGTTTTTTCTTTTTTTTTTTCTTTTTTTTTTTTGTTTTTTTGTTTTTGTTTTTGTTTTTTTGTTTTTGAATTTATTTTGGTGAGTTCGATTCCCATTATATCCACATAAGATTTTTCTTTCTTTTTAATTTATTTTTTATTAGATTTAAATCTTCAACAATAAGACAATCTTTTAAGTGAAAAAAGATTAACTCCTAGTCGGTTGCTTATCCTGTATAAGTTCGATGAGGCGTTATCAGTCATATAAGCAATATCGATCCGCGAAAAGTAGAGCTATGCTTTCCTATCTTTCCTGGCAAAGTTTGCTGACAAGAACATATCATATAACCGCAAAGGACTAGTGAGTGGTGCCGCGAAGACTTTTGGGTACAGTTGCGCAATTTCTGCTTTTTTTGACAAGGGTATTAAACAGCCACCCCAGTAAATAATATAATAACAAAGGATGGTAAAAAGATAAGAAAATTAATTGGTGATTCGGACTGAGAACATTGGGATATTTGCTCTTGTAGCGTCATGGCGTATGATATCAAATTAACAAGTAGTGTGACATGCAAAACGCAAAATTGTTTGTTATAGCCTACAAAAGGGAAGAAATTGCAATTATTCTAATATTATGTAGAGAACACCTAAGAGAGAAGATCGTCTTAGACAAGTTAAACGAAACCATTCTTTTCTGTGAAAAATTCAATTATCTTTTGGTAAATATTTCATAACTTCTTCAGCCGTACTAGGCCTTTGTGCATTATACAGGTAAACCAGTGAACGCCTATAGGGCTTCTTGTTATCACAAAAGTTTCAACCGGTTCCGTGCGTGGCAGAGTGCAAGGGATTAGCTGATATGGTCTGGGGGCTGGCTGGTCTCTCCCTTGGTGATTTCGTGCTAGATGTCTCGTGCGGATGTCTTGGGGGTATGGCACACTATTGATCGTGTTATCGAATTAACAAATTGATATCAGATTTTTATGTGTCTGTCCTCTTATTGACGATAAATTGCGTCATCACATTGTCAAAGTAGTGTGGATCCACGAGGCGTAGCCGAGATCCGCATACTACTTTGACAATGTGATGACGAAATTTATTGTCAATAAGAGGACAGACAATTAAAAAGCTGATGTCTATTTGTTTTTTGCAATAACAAAAACGATAAAAACTTCTCATTTTTATCGATCAAAACAACCAACGGAAAGAGCGCGCGTTCGTTGACGTCAGCTTTATCTGTCTGTCCTCTTATTGATGATAAAAAATAACCAATCAGCGCGCGAGAAATTGGTAAGTTATTCTAAAAAAGCGCACTAACACAAATAAAGGCTTCGATTACGTCATAAATCAAAAAAATCTCCATTAGTCCGCATTTCCATCCCACAAGGCTTTCCGGTATCTATTTTTATAAAGCGTAAAAAATGCTATTATAAATATCCAGGGAATGATTGGAATGTTTGCCGTAAATTGGAACTTGTGTAAACGTTAATTACTACATTTTCCTTTTCCCAGAGCTATTTACTAGCCACGGTCACTATGTAAAGGATTGAAATCTCTTAAYATTTTTCTTGTTTTGAGCTCATACATAAAACCATTTGTAAAATGGATTTTTTCAATGTGATTTTTACGTAATTCATGACGTAATACATAATAACAAATCAGAAAAACAAGTGGTAGTTTCAAATGACTTTACTCTTACTAGAAGACGTTATACCAGTTCAGAAACTTTTATAAGAAGGTATCAGGCAACCTTCTTAGTTTATAGACCATTTGCCAAAACAATGTTTGCCAAAATGGCTGCCAAAAATTTAAATCCAACTATTTTGACAAAGGGACTGTTGGTTAGATATGCATATAATAAAAGCTTTTTAATAGACCATGTAACTACGTTATCTGAAAATATGTATTTATTTGCTGCTTCTGGTCAAAAAAACACTGATCTATACGTTTTATATATTAAGCTTTGCTATCTCCAAGTAACCTATAAGGATATATTTTTCTGTCAAGTGTCAAAGTTTATATTTTTCTTTTTTCTCATTGACCAAGAGTACCACGTGATGGTCATCATATTTCACTGTGAACATAAAACCATTGGTAAGAATTCTCAGGACTGCAATGCTTTTATCTTCTTGTGTTGAGAATAGTTTTCTAGCAATCGTGAATAATTATTACCTTTTTTTAAGTGGTGTTGCATAAGRAATATTATATCTTTTGAAAATTCTTTCATTCAATAAATTTAGTATCTTTCTATGAATTTAATAATCTTTTTTAAAGGAAAGGTACTTTTTTATTGAGAAGGTTCGAGGATTGGAAGTAAACAGGTTGCAAGTACAGAATTCGCTGAATATCGAGAACTGTAGTGATGTGACAAATGAAAACTTAGACCTAGAGATTGAACGAGGAAAGTGAGATCTCTCCCCAGGCTCCCTTCTTTAAAACACGGGTATCCCAAGCACCAAAGAAAGCAAAAAATAAAGACCCCTGGTTAATTAATGGCTGCTAATAACCAGAGTAGAAAATTTTCGACAAACTGAACCTTTCATGACCTTCAAATGCGAGTTTTAACTCATAACTTAAAGTCTGGGTAATGAATTTGTTGCAATATTTCCTAAAATATTCTGTAATTTCACCTACATCAAGCTGATCAATGTTGACCAATCAGAATCGAGAAAATTCGCAAAACTGAGGAGTCACTTTTCCTCTTGAAATTATAGATTTCCAAGCCACCAAATGAAAAATAATAGCATTTGCTAATAAGAGGTTGATAACAATACAGAAAATAACACAATAACGAATGAGCTTTATATCGTTATTGCAATGGTGGACAGGTTTTTTTCACTGGTCAATTTTCACAGGCTTCAGGACACCTCAGTTTTGCAGTGACGTCATTTCTACGTCACTATTTCAGTTTAGCTGGATATATATTAGGGTTCGTGCTGAGGTAACCACTTAAAATTCAAGGACCATTCAAGGAGTATACAAGGACCCAAAAATGAATTTTCAAGGAGTATGTTCAGCTAAATATGCCAAGGTTTTACAATGTGGTTGCACATGGCCGACTTTCAGATTTGCTGATCTTTCTGACTAGATCTATTTCATAACCATGCAAGCAATAATCAAAGCAAAAATTTAAGGAGTTTTCAAGGAGTTTCGCTAAAATCGTAAAACTCAAGAGCTTTTCAAGTGCCCTTGAAAACGTGAATTAAATTCAAGGAGTTTTCAAGGAGTTTAAGGAGTAGCACGAACCCTGATATATGTAATACTTTAGACTTAGTCTCCCATGGAATATCAAATGTCAAAAAATCATTTAAAACCATCGAAAATGCTGAAAATCTTCCTGAGTTCTGTTAGTTGTGGTTCTTTGAGTGGAAGAAGAGGTGATCTCGTAGGACCACCGTAGTATCCCATCATTTCCATGGAGGCTTTTAGACCTGATACTCCATATGTCTTAGTCACCTAGTAGTATTGAATATCAATCAATAAAAAGCAACAACAATAAATAATAAAAAAAACTTCATGTAAGCGTAAACATGGTAAATAGCATCCTTGGATGTAGAGTGTTGGTTGTTTGCACATGGTAGAGTGTTGGTTGGTTGTACATGGTAGAGTGTTGGTTGGTTGTACATGGTAGAGTGTTGGTTGGTTGTACATGGTAGAGTGTTGGTTGGTTGCACATGGTAGAGTGTTGGTTGGTTGTACATGGTAGAGTGTTGGTTGGTTGTACATGGTAGGGTGTTAGTTGTACATGGTAGGGTGTTGGGTGCTTGTACATGATAGAGTGTTGGTTGGTTGTACATGGTAGAGTGTTGGTTGGTTGTACATGGTAGGGTGTTGGTTGGTTGTACATGGTAGGGTGTTGGTTGGTTGTACATG